AAGAGTAGCAGCTTCTTTGGGGGCAAGACGCACCAACCTAGAAACAACCGTGGATCGGGAAAACCTCCTCCCCTCCCAGGAAGGTGTGTTGACAAAAGGGTGGCAAATCTGGGGTTTTCCCAGACCAGAAGAATTTCTGCTCTTTCCCCCAGTTACCAGCAATACCAACTCCAGTTAAAGCCACAGCCTCAAGCAGAGTTGGGCACTCACCTTCTGGAGACAGAGGAATATCTCCTCCTCAGCAGGGGACAGACATTCACCTGACCGCAGCCACAGGTGGGAACAGACTCCCCTGGTGTTCCCCTACCAGGAAAAGCCAACTCTCCACTCACCAGGTAAAGCCTGCTGGAAATATGCAGCAGCAGCTTTCACTTCAGGGCTTCTTGCGTAACCCTTTGTGGGCCAGACTATGCAGCAAACAATGGGCAACGGGCCACCTAACCTCAGGGAAATGGGCCTTGGGGAGCTTTGCTGGCAATCAAATGCCAACACCAGTGCTGCAGGCACTCATCACATCACAGAAAGCTTTCGGAGGCAGTGGCAAAGGGGGCAGCAGTGATAGAAGACAGCCTTGCCCATTGCAGCTGGTCCCCTGGCCCCTGGAAGGGAGCTTTCTCATTACCATCTTTTTACTATAGACAAGTGAGGTCAGAGCCTCGGATGCTAAATTGTTGGGAGGCTCCCGCAGGGCTAAATAAAGAGGCTTTTTCACCACCTGCTATAACTCTGCGGCCTTGCTGGAGCCTTGAGGGCTCCTTCTCTGCTACATGATTTATTACCATATGCCTCTAGCGAAGGCTGGCTAGGTAGGACTCTCCTGGGATCTGACCAGCACCAGGAGAATGATTATCTACTCCCTGGAGAGGCGCAGGAAGAGGAACAATGGTAGAGGCAGATTAGCATCATAAACTCTCACTTTTCCAGGGAGGAGCTATTGACAACCCCTGGGTAACCAGGAACTGCCCCCTTACCTTTTGAAATGCAACTAACAGAACTGAATGGGCCAAAAGGATGCCACCCCCTCCCAAAAATGCCTCTCCAATGCTCTCAGCACAGGCCATTTTCTCCCCCAGGCAGACTGTCCCCTGGCTGCAACATCTTCACCTGTTCCTCTATTTCCTCCTTGCACTTACCCTGCTGCCCTCCTCCCACCCTCTTCTATGCCCTTCTCTATCCCTTGCCTTCATGTCTAGCAAATCCTACCACAGACACACTGACCCCCAAAGGGACTGAACTGCATCAGGAGCTCAGTGAACAACTGTTCACTAGGGCACCCCTGGGGAAGACCAGGATCAATGGGTACAAACTCCTGGAAGGCTTCAGGCTTAAAACCAGGAAAAACTTGACAGTCAGTGTGTCCACACTGTGCGATAAACTCCCTCCAGAGATGGTGCAGTCACCTACCCTGGAGGTTTTCAAGAGGAGACTGGACAGTCACCTGGCTGGGGTCACCTAACCCTAGTAGTCTTCCTGGCTAGGGCAGGGAGGGCTGGACCTGATGATCTGCAAGGTCCCTTCCAGCCCCTAACGATCTATGAATCTATGAAAAACAAGGATGTCCCAGCAGTAAGGGTGGTTTGCACTGTTGCGGTTCACCCTCCTCCCATTTTGGGGGTCTGCTTGGTCTATTTGTACCACTGTCTTTGATGCAGAGGCTATTTGTTGCACTGTATGGGGCCAGGTGCAACATGGCCTTGTCTTCAGTTGGCTATTATTAGGTGCCACCATAGCAGAAATGCAGTTGGTGCTCAGAAGTGAGTGTCGTTCTGTAGTCTGACCAGGGTAGTGCTGGACAAGATTTTTAAGTTATCACAATGGGTAGGTAGCTGTGCCTGTTGGTATCAGTGCTGGATTTGACCCATTTGCCATCACAGAGGAACAGTTTGGGTCCAGGCTCATGTCCCTAACAGTAGTCAATATTTGTTACTAGTGAGGAAATCATTACAGCCACATAAAACAGCTGGTTAATTATGCAATACTGTGCATTGTGGGGAAAGAGGTCCCCTAACCTCTGCAGTCATCAACTTCCATCCCAAAGTGGGAGACATGATTAAGCTCCAGGCTCAGGCCAGGTGAGCTGCTAATTTCATTGCTACTCATAGAATTGCCACTCTTTGTTTTCTGTTGAGCTCTGCCTAGATGTAGGGTGGGGGCACTTCTTAGTACTAATCATGATAATTCTGCCTGTAGAGCTGGGCAAAAAAAAATCATCTGTATTTCAACTTTGTTATCTGTGAAATGGGGATAATACTTCCGGTTTTACCTGGGATTCCTTGAGTAGTATCTGCATGTGGCACTGAAGATGTGAAATGTTACTGAATACTAGAGGCTCTCAGTGTCTGACACCACATTATGCAGGTGCACCGATGATGCCTAGGAAATAAGGTTTCCCTTGGCTTGAGGATAATGCTGAACACCCATTTTCACGCTGAGGTGCTGTTTCCTTTAAGCCCTTTTTTCTTCCAAATTATGAAGCAGTTTGTGTTGTGCTGCTTCTTTCTTTGCTGAACTCTATGAGTGAGCCCTCTTTTCTGTGCTGTAGGAATCCCACCTGTCTTCCAAAATAGTGAACACAACTGAATGCCAACCTCAGATACTGTGCATGATGATGATGGGTGCTTAGATGGCACCTTCCATTAAAGGATCTCAAAGACTTTTGCAGAGATGGAAATTACAAAGCATATCTATTTGGCACATCAGGGAATTGAGGCACACATAGATAAGTGACTTGGCCCAAATGAAACAGCTGCTCAGTGATAGAGCCAAGTCTTGCGATTCTCATGCATCCCTTCATTCCTAGTCCAGGCTGTAGCACATCTCCTGGCTCCTAGTGTCCTGCTCTAACCACTGAGTATCACTACCTCCCTAACCAGATGGATATAATCAAGGAATAACTGAAGGCAGGAGGGTTTGTTTGTATTTTTTTAAATCAGAGACCTTGCTAGATCACTGTCAGTCAGAAAAATTGTAGGTATCAGCTGTGGTGTTTCCACTTGGGAGCCTGCTGCGGCCCAATTCTAAAAATACTTGACTTTACTGCAATGAACAGTAGAAGCATACTCATGGTAAGTAGTAAGTGAGTGTGTGCACATGTGCGTGTAAGTGAGTGTGCACATACCTAGTAAGTGAGTGTGTGCACATGTGCGTGTAGGATTTGTCTGTGCAGAATGAGTCCACATTCTCACTTACCTTTCTCAGCCCCTAGTGATTTACAGCAAGTTTGCATTCGTCAAGGGGGACTAGAGATAATAGAAAAGGATCTTGAAAGCTTCCTGCTGCGTAGAACTGGGCAAAACCCTTTCAAATTGGTCGTGGTAGCCAATGGACTGTTCTGAGCCCAGCGAGTCCCCTCATTGGATGGGGGGAAGTGCTACAGGGCAACAGGAGGTACTTTCTGGGAGAAGTGGTGCGGTATTTCCCTTTCATTGTACTTGGCTGAATGAGTGACACTAGCACATTGGCTATGCAGCATGTGCATGTGAGGTCTGTCTGCACTAGCAAAAACAGGTATATTCTCATAGTAGTTTCATAGTTTCATAGCAGTTAGGGGTCAGAAGGGACGTGAATAGATCATCTAGTCCAACTCCCCGCCACTGGTTGGAGCACACGCTGGGATCACATGACCCCAGGCAGGTGTTCATCCCAAGGTAGGAGCGAGGACCACTTCCCTAGGAAGTTGGTTCCAGATCCTAGCTACCCTGACAGTGAAATAGTACTTCCTAATCTCTAACCTGAACCTATTCTCCAGCAGCTTCTGGCCATTGTTCCTTGTCACCCCAGGTGCTGCCCTCCAACCAAGCGGGTGGCCCTCCTCTGAACCCTCTCAAGGCAGGCCACATCCTTCTTAAAGTGCGGTGCCCAGAAATGAACACAGTACTCCAGTTGAGGCCGGACCAACGTTTGAACGTGTGTTGCTATCCTAGTGAAGACACAGCAGTTGCGTTAGACCCTGGGACTTAGGGTGTACCTGTGCCAGCTAATTCATATTAAATCTACAAGGGCCTTGTCTTCAAATGTTAAAGATTAATCTCTTAGGGTGTCTACACGTGCTTTTACACATGCCTAAACTTAATGTGCATTTGCCTGATGCGCATTAAGGCAATTTAGGTGTGCATCTACATGTGCACGGGCTAAAGCGCATTAATGAGGTATACAAACTAACTTGGGATTCAAGTTAGTCTCATATCAGTTGACATATACAACATTAATGTGCCCTAGTGCATCTACACATGCATTAAGGCACTTTAGCTGTTCACGCCTAAATTTGACACCTGCTTTTGCTTTTGCAGGTATCAAATTTAGGCATGAATAGCATAAAATCGCCATTTTTAAGGCGCATTGGGGCACACACATGTAGACCTGCGCCCTTAATGCACCTTAAAAATGGCTAATGTGCCTTAAATCGGCGCATGTAGATGTGTCCTTAGTGTCCCATTGAAGATAAAGCTGAACTAGAATAGAAGCAGACACAGGTGCAGATCTCTACCACTAGATGGTACCATTGTATGGGGGAAAGACTTGCAAGAAGCCTGCAGAAAATTATGCTGAAGTCCTGGCCCATGGGAGTTGGAAGGAAAACCAGGACAGTGAGTGGGTTGTTTAGGTCCCCAATGGCTCAGCAGGGTCTGCTGAAAGGCACATGTCTGGTGTGTTATTACAAGGAAGAGGGGGCTCGGTGCCTTCACTCCTTTCTTTTAGAGGAGCATATTCCACAGCAGAAAAGATATTTCCTTTTGAAAAATATGCTTAGAGACCATTCTCATTGCTACTAGGCAAAATGTCCTCCAATTGTATTGGCCAGCTCAGCCTTATACTGGAATCCACGTGATTTCTACACCCCTCGAGGGTATATCATGCTGCCATCAGAGGAAACTTCTACTGGCATCTACAGAGCCAGTTGGCTGCCTCACAGCAATGGTGAGTACTACAAAGATAGAAAAGGAAGGTAAGACAAAAAAGCACGCATGTGCCCAGTGGACCACTTTCAGCCCTGATGTAAAGGACTGGTCTGCTGACTTCAGTGGAACTAAGCCCTCTTATGCTCAGGCTGAATTTGACCCAGTATTAAGGAGATGGAAAAAGATGTTGAAGCTGTGGGACTTTAGTGATAGAGCTGCTGGTTCAAAGCCGAGGAGGCAGAGCCAGCTTGAAAACTAGTCCACTGTGAACATTATTACCAGGTTCTGATCAAGCCACAACTTCCAGAAATGTCACAGTGCCGAGGAAACCACAGGACTCTGCAGGGGCACAGTGATGCTGACTATGCATTAGGTGCCACTAAGCATGTAAAGCATCAACGTGGCACTGAGTGGAGCCCAGAGATCATGCCCCGTCC